TTTCTCATTTTGAAGCTCAGTCCCCCTCATTGTTTAATAATTCAATCGGGAGACACACAGTAGAGGGTGTAGCTGGGGGATTTGGCTCTGATTCAAAACACATGCCGCTATTGTTGCCCCCTCTCTAACTCCCTCTCGATTCAGTCATTTCTCAAGCATTCAATTACGAAGTGCTGCGTTTAAAAAAAATAATTAAATAAATAATAAACTGAACAATAAAAACAATCTGACAACCGGAAATTTTAAAAAAATCCTTGGTATTGCAATTTTTTTCTTCACACTTCGACTATTTGATTTCATTTGCAGCAAATCTTCTCAGATGTTATGCCTGTTTGGGATCAGAAGAAAACTGTAGCGAGGACAAGATATCAACCGACAGCGGTAAACAAATGGTTTGCGGATCAGTTGAAGATCGATGCATTATAGTATACTCACGTGACGAGAACCTGGAACAGTTTAAGATGAACTGCAGTCATCGTGATACCTGCAAGGAAGCAGTAGAGTCCTGTCACGAGGACATGAAGACAAAGAAACTCGAATGCTGTGATGTAACGTGCTGTGACTCTGACTTTTGCAATAAACCAAAATATTCAGGTTTGTCAAGTCAGTTTAATCTAACCAAATGATAGATCGCTCCATGCACACAGGTCGAGTTCGCCACCTCAGCTAACCGACTTTGGCTTGGCAGTGGATAAAAGAACGATGAATAATCTGTATATGCGTGGGAGCGAACTAAGTTGGAGCGATCTAACCATGAAGCAAAGTGACCAGACACCGTCATTAGCAAAACGTTACTAATTTACACAGCTTTCACAAAATTACAAAAAGAAGATGGTTTGAAATTCTGGAAATTTCCATTAACGAATGTTGCATTTTCCAGAATTTCAGGAAAAGAGGTCAATCTCACGAGGTGTACCCAAATTTTCGGAAACCTCCTTTTTGATAAAAGAATGTGTTATTAGGGTGTCTTGTGCCCTTCATGTATTTCGTAACCAATTTGAAGCAATCGCACAGTAATGCATCAAATTTGAGAACTTTTACTGAAAGTTATTATTTGACGGTGTTTAGATGGAAAGTTCTGTCAAAGAAAACCGGACCTCGTGGCTATCATCTATGGCGGTGCCGAAGTAATCCGAGGACAAAACGAAAACATCACGATGAATGCATCACTTTCCTATGACCCGGTTGTTGGACTAGGTAATCACTCCGGGATGAACTTCACCTGGCATTATGGTGAAATCAAAGGGAACTATTTTGGCCTACAGAGAGCAGCAAGCGACTCCTTCACAGGAGTGAACCAATCAACCATTCGGTATTCTGGGAGTGATTCTGGACTAGAAGTCACCTTCAATACTGCCTCCATGTCTATCAATAAGACATACCTGGTAAACCTGGTCTTGACGAAAGATTATCGCAGTTCGAGCGTTTATCAAATTATTCATTTGGTAAAAGGAGATCCGCCTGAAATATCCCAACGGTAAGGAATTAGTTTTGCTTTTTCAGACTGTTTTTTTCTCCGCATTTCAAATTAGATGAAAGCAAGAGAGAATGAAAGGTAATAGATATACTCGCCGATCAGTATACCTTGTTTGCATGGTAATCCTTCTCAAGTTATTTTTAGACATGGTACCCAGTTCTTCCGCTGATAACGTGACCACTCACGTTGCCTGAATGTTTTCGTGGAGGATGCAAATGAGTGTAAGGGTGCTGGTGCTGTCCACGTGATCAAAATCCCCTTCACTGGATTGGCTATTTCTAGACCCTCTAAAAGCGGTTGTGATCCAAAAGGAGAGTGATTTACCTTTGGAATAAGGACTAAATGGTTAATTTAATCTCTTACCTTTCATTCTCTCTTGGTAGACGCCAAAGATAACGCCACCTATTACTCGTAGTTTTCACTCATGCTGAATTAATTATGACTTGATTTGCCACTTTTATTTTATTGTTATTATCATTTTTAAACTTTAATGATTCGCAAACTGGTGCTTGTGGTCATTCGTGTTCTTTGCTGTTGTTTTAACTACTATCTACTTGACATGGGACGAAATCCATTGGACTTTGGTGTTATGCCCACAAGGCTTACATGCTGTGGTAATGTGACTGCCACATGAGGGAAATAAACCATTACCATGAAAAAAGTGGTACTCAGATGATTACGTATTTATAAATTGTCATTACGACTGTGTAAAGTGCTTTCCTGATTGTGAA